TTCAAATCAAATCAAAGCATCCAATCAGCATAGTGCTAAGAAGTACAAAAGGTTTCATTAAACCCCACAAAAGTTCAAGTTCCACATGAGAGGCGATTCATGAAACTTCAGGTGAAACATGGACCGACACTGAGCAGCTGACAGCAAATTACCAAAGACGCTGGGATGAAGATGTAAATTGAATGGCAGCACCTTCCAGGACTATTCTCTGCTTTTCACTGCACGTCCTCCCACATTCAGTGAGTCAAAACAGACAGCAGGTTTGAGTCGATGACGAGCCTTCAAATGTTCATCCTCCCTTTCTGTCGGTGGGCACGTGGGAGGAGAGAGACGACTATTAGATAGCTGTCAAACATGCGTGCTTGTCCATTAGTGCAACTGCAGAACTGCCCGACGCAAAAAGTTTTACAAGTTTTAGATTAGGATTCATGTGGATGTGAGGATGTGAGCCTTAAACGTACCCTAGAAAAACCTGTAACGTATCACGACCATTTTTATTTGCGATGTCTGAGCCTTTTCCAAATCTCTGCCTCAAAAGAAAGATTTCTTTGTGGAGGCCTCTGGGTGAATTTTATGCCGAAATCTAAAGGATGCGATGCTTACACTCAGTGCCTCTCAGTTCATGCCCTCTTCGAGCTCAGAGTTTGAACTTTGCCACTTCTACAGCCTTCAGAGTGACTTTAAGCCTCAACAAAGTCTAAAACAGACAATTATAAAAATGTGTCACCCATCATAGAGTTGAAGTAGCCACAGAGACCAAACCCCCTTTTTTGTAGCAGGCTATGCGCATGAGGTTAGAGATTAAGTAACTTTTTGAGCCAGTCCTCTAACGTTAGAGGAACTGTAATTTTTTTAACTTCCATGTTCATTTTTCAGTCTCTAGAAACTCTTACTTAGCTCTTCCTGCCATGCAGTCCACTTCTGCATCAGCAAAGCTGCTGTTTAGTCCCTTTTTAAGTGTAGCAGGAAATAAAAAGGGCGTCTTGTAATGATGGCTTTATTATTTAAATAAAAAAGTTTTGACTCTCACATGTGTTACCATGACAATGTATACCATTTATTATATAAGAAACTATTTACTTCTTGATGTACAAACAACTGTGACAAAATGCAAAAAGATAAGACATTGCACCTACTCATGTGCACCTGGCAGATGGCAAAGGAAGAAAAAATCCTAACCTTTGGTAAACGGCTCGCCCACATTTAGTAGCTGCAGTCCAGTGAAACCAGGTTATTTTTAGAGTACATTTAAAAAACAGCAAATGCTGCACAGCGTGTTATTTGAAGCTTATTTCTTTGCATTTGTCTTTCCATGTATCAGTGAAAGGACAGCTGCTGAGCCTTTTGCTGCGGCAGAAATATGAAACTCACACTAGGATATTTAGTGAGGTTTAAACAGTGATTTCAATGCTGTAATCAGAAGAAACATCAGTGGTATAAATGTTTAGCAGACTAATACAATTAGCCTTGGTTAAAGTCAGTTTATGTGGTGAAAAAAGCTCAACATGCCACGTCATGTTTCAAATCATCGTGAACTTTGCAGAGTCGGTGAGGGTCGAGTGTTTGGGACGGTGCCATAACATTTCTAA